TTCAATAAAAACCAAAACAATCCACATGAGCAATTGACTACAAGTAACGATAACCAAACAGCTTCGCTGAAGCATTTGAAAATGGCCATCCATTCAGGGATTTTCAATGCTTTCGGTGAAATGATACAAAGTTTATCAAAGTAATATGGGAACATGTAATCGATATCATTTGTATCATAATTTGTCATAAATCGACCGTTAAACGAAGCATAGACTTTACTACGTAGAACCGATCCAATTGATCCTGTTATTTTCAATTGAGTATGGAAAAGTATCTAGTAAGTTTGTTAAAAAAAATTAAAGCTTTAACATTTAAGGTAGCAACAAATGTCCATGTACGAAATAGCCAATTTATCAGCCCAATGGAAAAAAAATATTTCGTACATTCGGAATTCAAACTTTTTGTCGGAAGAAACTTTGTTGTCACCGTTAAATCAACAGTATTCGCTGACTTTTTGTTACTTCATTTCATATTCAAGTTCTTCAAAATCCTTTAAAGTATCCTTTTCAGTATTTACTTACCCACAAAACTTCCATTCGAAGCTTTATACCCGAAATCAATGCCAACTTGCGGAATATTGACAGCTGTAAAATTAATTGATTTGGCGGCGTGTGCAAGCATAATACCGTCAACGCCTCCATAACCATCCGATCGCCAAATGTCTTTCATCAAATAAGAATTGTGAAAAACTTTTGGCAATTCTTTGGCAGACAATGCTGTTGGATATCGCCAGAATAACGTGATTCGCAATGGAAATCCTTGGAGGTCATTGAATTTGTTAAATAGATCCGATTTTTTAAAATCGATATCATTTAAATTTAACGATTTATGTTCGCCCCAAAACGATGCATTTATTCGTGTAAATGGAAAGAAGACGCGAACGATCTAAAGAGAAAATATCAAGTCAAAAGAGCTTAAAACATTAAAAGTGTAAATATTTCATATTTTCTTACTTCTGGATCATCATTACAGGGTGTAATAATTAGAGCGTTTGCTATTCCATAATTGTTCCAAAGTTTTTCCAAAACTCTTTTACAGAGTGCATCAAAATCGGGTTCGGTTACCATTGTTATGGCAATGACATATAATTGTCGCGGATGTCTAAAAGGAAAACGCGCAGAACCAACGAGATACTCATCAATAGTTCGTATATTTTCAGCAATTACAAAAACTCTTGCTTCCGGCTTGTCTGTTCGTTTGGGCCATGAATTTTGTGATTCCGAATCTAAACTGCGTTTTTTGCGGTAAACTGAAACGCTTGCCTGTCCGGGTCTTTTCTCAAATTCTTCACCTTGCCACGAAAACATTTCGTAAAATGTTACTTTGGCATTCTCAAAATGAGTGTTCAAAAGTTTAAAGGTTACTTTAACATTAAATCCTGTAAAAGTGACACACGTTGTTATTTAGAAAAAAAAAGTATTTGAAAGTGTTTTTTTTTCGATAATGATGGTACTCACTATTTGTAATCTCCTTGATAAAAAATCCTGCGAAATGATTCATCGATGAAGTCGGTTCGGTTTCAGATAAAACATTCACATGAACAAACGTTAGAGGTCCGTAAAACCACTGAATCATCTTCCAGTAAAGTTCATTGGTAATTTTGCACTCGTCATTCGAATGTGAGTTAAAAAGTTTCGAATCGATGCATGAAATGTCATTCACTAAAGAAACGACCAAGAGAATAAAAGAAACAAAACTATGAATGTTCATATCGGAAGTACGGCCTAAAATCAGAGTTCAAATGATAGAATCAAATCATTTTGCTTTGGTTTTTATACCGGAAGCTTTATTAGGTTTATTGTTGTTGAGCAAATAAAAGAAATAGCTATTTCAAGCAAGAATAGAAGCCACTGACAAAAAATTCGTTTGCTTATTACACTTTGGAATGTTAATAAACGAATCGAAATTCAAACATTACCGTACTCAATATTTCGATGACAATAGAGCTTCTGTGTTTCAATTGTTGTGATAATTCGATTTTAATGACATGTTGAAGTGACACTTGCAAATGCAAATATTCACCACAAAATTGATGACTAAGTTCTATTTGAACAACGAAAAACGTTTTTTGTTTGGGTAACAAAGCCGACAACATTTGTGTTTTAAGAAGTATTTTATTTATTGAAAATAATTACGATTATGATGATCCATCATGTGGCACTCTCATATATAAGCTCATTGCCTGACACGAACCCTATTTTCCGGATCTGTGTCACATTTCAAGTTGAAATTTTTAACTGCCATAAATATTACCTTGAAGTTAATCAAATTTTCCGACAATTTTTCATGAATTCATTGTAAAATCCAGAAGTTAAACACACGATAAAGCAAACGAACGAAGTGAAGAACAAAATAAATGATTCAACAATATCAAACACATCGTGCACTTATTCAAGCGAATCCATAAAAATGTCATCATCATAAATTTGCGATTATTCGTTTTTTGTTCGTTCGTTTTGCGCCAGTTGTAACAAAAGCCACCACAAAAGGCAACGAGCAAAGAGTGGAAAAAATTGCAATCCATAAATTCAGCTTTGTTGGTTGGGAACTCGGTGAGACAGAGGGAGAGAGAGAATGAGAGAGAGAGAGAGAGAGAGAGAGAGAGAGAGAGAGAGAAAAAGAAATCTTAACAGTAGGAAAGTCAGTAACATTTCGCACAGAAAAATATTGATATTATCTCATTTTTTCTTCTTTATGTGCCATTCCGCATGAAATGGCAGATAGAGAGAGAGAGAGAGAGAGAGAGCGAGAGAGAGAAACCTCATCACATCACCGTGCGGCAAAGAACAAAGGTATGCAGAAAAGAACGGCAAACCGATCATAAAATGTGTGCTCGCGCAACAGAGAGCAAAGTGTGAATAGATGAAAATAAGTGCGACAGACAAGAAGGCGAAAACTTGATGAAAATGAACAAGGGCATCAATGACGGCAGCATCAACCAAACATCTTTATCTTTCTTGAAATATTTATTATTTTTCGTTGGCAAAGCGTATGCATTTCCATTATCACTTTATCATATGACTTAGCCGTATGTCTGTTTTTTTTTCTTTTTCCACCGCGTACTCACAATGAGTGGCATTTTTTGCTCTCGACACCAGACCTAATAGTAACTTATGTGTATTTGTGAATATCTGGTTGTTGTATATGAACGGCGTATAATAAGAATAATAAGAAAATATAACCGCGGATATGTGTTTGCACAATATGTATGTGTTCAGTCTTTCGCATAATTTGCTATGTGATTCAGCGAACAGCTGCTACTGTGTCGCAGTAAAAAAATTCACAACCGTAAAAAATATGAATATGCAAAAGAAAAGAAGGAAGAAGTGAGAGAAAAAACAAAAAGAAAAATTCTAACACAACGAGCTCATTCGCGGTAATAATAATAAACATAAAATATGCGCCAATGTGTTGAAAATAAGAGCAGAAATGCAGCGCTCAAAATTACGCACGTAAATATTTCAACTCAATACATGCAACTTTCTCTCTGCAAAAAAAAAATCGCGCATAACCGAATCTACGTGTAGATGCATGTATTGCTCGAAGCGTTGTGCTGTGAGCGCGTTGTTTGTGTTTCCTCTTCATAGATTTGAAAACCAGAATAGCAAAAGAATGAAGAGCCCTTGTTGTTTCAGTTATTTCATCATATATCGTGAATTGTGAAACATTACGTTCCATTGAGAAAAGTTATATATAAAATCAACACTCGTTGTGCTCACATTTTCCAAAAATGTGCACATTTTTTCACATAAATTATTCAATATCCATTTTTTCTCATTAAGCACATATTACGATTGCATAGATCAAACCCCACAAAACTCATTCAATTTCTCCCGCACTCGCTTCAACTCTCTCTCCCCCATCCCAACTGTCTCTGCTACTATTGCTAAAGTGGTTTCTTCTGCGTCGCAACCGAAAACAATATATGTGATTGCATAATTTGCGATTACTTTTACCCGTTGTCATTTTCTTTATGAGATTGGCTGGTGTCGCATGTGCATCAGAATGTCAGACACTACATATTCACACACACCATCTGTTTCGATCCCATCGTATCATAAAATACACATTTAATGTGTGTGTGTTGTGGATGTAATTGCTTGAAATTATGGTTTATCTTCTACACTCTCGTAAATTAATAAGAGCAAGTTGAAAGGATGAACGCAGCTCAGTCCTTTTGCATAAAAAAACCAACTCTCTGCAGACTTATCGAAAGTGACTCGATTCGAAAAGATAAACGCCTCAAGTCTCCTGTAGCGAAAATTAAAATTTAGAGTTCATTTTTTTGCTCGTCTTCGTGTGAAATCATGAAAAATGTGCCCTTTTGTATTGAGCCCGTGTGTATGTGAATAAAAACAACGTCTCTGTGTTTTTTTCTTTTTCATCCGCGCTTTTGGTGTTTTATTTCTCATTTAAACGACATGTTGCCTGTCAGAAAGTCATGTATCTTCCAATGAGTGCACACTGCACACTCTCAGAGAAGATACGCGCATTTTTATTTATGTTCAACCATATTTTTTTGTCTTCTTTTAACTAGCGTATACTCTCGCTGGCACTCTTTATCATTCAACTTACCTCAATGCAAGAATACAGCGAATCCATATGCATACACAAATTTATAACCTCAACTGTCACTATACTATGTATTTAAAATGTATATGCTTCTCTTGTGTATCAGCACGGAACTACTATAGAGACCGGATAAGTGTTGAAAGTATGAATAATTTTTTTAAAGAAAATATGGCATCAACATAAAATCTAGCAGTTTTTTATTCTAGCTGTTATTCGAAATGCCTTTCATATTAAAGTACTTTCATACATTATCTCAATGTAAAAAAATCTTTCCATTTTTCACCAAATTTACAACATTTATTTTAAGAACTATACTGTGCTTATAATTTAATATTTAAACTGAGCATGTGCAGTTTTGTTAAGGTCTTCTTTTGAAACATTTTATATTGAAACACATCTTTTCATCGCAGGTGTTTAAGTAGACAATTCAATATTTGAAATGCGACTTGCTTCTTTTAAACGTTTTGGTGCGATTTTTCTTAAGTTCGTTTGGAATCTTATTTATAACGAGTTTTTCAAATCGACCATATTTATTGGGTGTTAAAACAAATCTTTCAATCAAAAATACGATAAATGAAATAATATATCCCATTAGCAAAATGTAAAATGGTGCCTGAATATCGTCCAATGAAAATGGCTTCCGAGTTCGTTGTTCCTGATAATGTATGTCTGATTTTAATATAAAAGCCTCTTCAGTTTTTTCATACCACACAAGATGAAAGCCTTTGAAAATGCACAAAAATCACATTTTTAAACTGAATCACATTTAATTGAAGATTACACAAACCTCCTTCGGCAAATCGCTGTAAAACTCTACTGAATCGATATAACAGAGGCCAATCTTTGGTAACCACATATGTTAAGTAGTAATGACGAGGACACTCTTTGACAACATGAAGTTTCGACGTTCCATCGGGATTCAAATATTTTGTCTAAATGGAAAATTTGAAATAAACATTACAGACTTCATTCATTCGAACCACTCAGTTCATACGATTTTCTTTCGAATTATTGAAGTCCGACTGTATTTTTAATAATTTCTGAAGATAGTTTTTCTCTTTACATTGATTTCAAAATATACCTTCATAATGAGTTGTACGTCTGAAAATCGCTCCAATCTGCAAACATCTCCAATTTCGGCAACTCGTGCGATTCCACTCATTTCGTCTTGTTCGATGAAAACTTTTCGTTTCAGCGATTGCAACAGTTCAGAACGAGTTTGTCGATTTCCAAACACATACTTTAGCACAGGTGATGATATCATAATTCGTAGGCCCGTGAGATCCAAGTCATGAAGTGAGTTGATTTCTTTGTCTGTTGTTTTTGTATAAGCTGTATATAATGAACCCTGTATTGAAAATAATACATTTTTGCTTATTCTAAATCTAAATGAAATCGCTTTGTGTTCACATCATACCTCAAACGAACCTCCAATAATAATATTGGCCAAAAGACATGATCCAATCAATAATCGTTCAACTGTTGTAATCGGTAAAATTGAATTCATTCCAACCATTACTTCCCATGTGCACACAAATATATCCCATACATAGATTTTCTTCTCAACAACGAAATTCTTAAAATCTTGGTACAAAAATGAATCGTGCAAGACTCTTTGTTCTTGTTTTTCATTATAGTACTTGAGCACGGGAAAAATGACACTTGATAGCGTTGTTATCATAAAGAATGCGAACCAAAAATAAATGTCAAAACAACTAAAAATCGTTTTCCATCGCGGTGTTTGATTCATTGCTGGCTTAACGACACAAAACATATCATCCAAAATTGGTACCACAAATTCAACATCAGTTGTTCCATAGTTTAAAATAAATCTTGAATTGAAAGCCAAATCGGCCCGACCATATACCAAATCGGCGATTGTTCCATAGTATTGACCTCGTCGCATAAATCCATAAGTATGATTATCTTCTGGTGTTACAGTAATTACAGTAAAATCCATTTCATCGGCTATATTTCCTAAAAGTAATCCGTCGACTCCAGCGAAACCAGATTTTTTCATACCTTCTGCATAATGAGTTTGAGCAAAATATTCGGGAATATCTTTCCACATCGTTGGATATCGTTCAAAAAGCGACACAGTTAATGGGAAACCATTCAGAGCATATGCTTTTTGTACAAGCCAATTGTCAGTATAGTCAAGGTATTTGATTGGAAATGATCGATAAATACCCCATTCGTCCACATTTGGATCTGTTATATTCAGTTGACGTGTATTTGCAAATGGATCAAAAATACCGATCTAAAAGAGACATGTTTATAATGAAGAAATATTTTCTAAGAATCATTAAAATTTGATTTTTATTTATCTCAAGTGGATAAGTCTTACATTATTTGGTTTACAACTGGCCAACACGATTGCATTTAATATTCCATAAACTTTCCACATTTTTGTCAATATGCTGCTGGCCCACTTATCCCAATTATCATGTGCCAGTTCTTTATAAACTAATATGACATAATGAGCTCGTTTTGATGTAAACGGAATTCGTATGATTCCGTTCAAAAATTGGTCAATAATTTCAAAATCAGCAGCCAAAACCACGCTGCCACTGCTCGGTTCGTCTTCTCGAATCCTATTTTGCTTTCGAATTTGCTCACGAATATTCAATTCATTCTCTTCGATGTAATAAGTGGAATTTCTTAGTTTTGATTCGGCATGCCACTGATATGAGTTGTCTTCATATAGATTCTCTTCGGCCACCTTCTCACCAGTAAAGTGAACAACATGCGTATAATATTCTAATCCCGTGTAACGATAGAGTTCACGCAAAAAATGATTCATGTAAAGTGTTTTATTGTGTCGTTGGATTTGCGTTACATTGATATAACTGCCAACGCGTAGAAAATACCATGAAATAATTTCCCATTGCTTTTCAGATAGTTCACAACAACTTTTATCGTATGTATTGTTTGGTTGTGCCCATTGTTCGGACAATTCATTCTCAATGAAGCAATAGTCAAGGGCTCTGCTGCCACACATAAAAAATGCACTTGAAAGAACAAAAACCACTGATACCCTCATTGTGAATCACTTTAATGAATACAAACGATTCAAATGAATCTCTTTTATACTTGATGTTTTTTTGTGTTTTTCTCTGCTTTTTTGTTTAGCTTCATTAGAGAAAATGTAAACATTTTGATTTCGTTAATCCTTGTTATTCTGATGTTTAATTGTTTTCTTATTCTCCTAAAACTACAAAAGAAAATTATGAAAAATACATAATTCTTTTATGTCAAATTACTGACAGAAATAGTAATGAACGTTGATTGAAATGTTTTTGTTATCATATGGTTTTGGAGAAAATTCTTTTCAAGTGTTGACATAATTTGATTGAAGTTTCTTAACTTCAGTTAAAAAGACTGCTTCTATCGTAAACGATCTATGAATGTGAAAAAAATGGAAATGTAAACAACATGTCCAGAGAGGCCGCATTGAATAGAAATGGTTCGATGATGAATGGCTTTAAAAATAATATTTTCATCTCATTACTATCATCCAATGAAAGCAAAACAACAACGGTTGACCAGTAATTTAACCGAGGCACGTATGGAGGATTGATTTGTTCACCATACACATTGGAATTTTTGTCATACGCATTCTACATAATATAATTAACACATTGCACCTTTGCATGGTGTGCACGACTTATTCCAACTGAATATTTGAATACATTTTATCTATACGATGTACACGCGCATATTGTGTATTCATGCGTTGATTTTAACGCCACAAGAAAATTTAAATAGGAATAAATGCCGATGCCAAACTTAATTTAGTTCAGAACAAACAATAGCCATCATTCAATTAGCTACGTGCTAGCTACTAGTCAACTTTTCTATTTGTCACTATGGGCAAATACAGAAAGAAAATAACCGTGTGGCGTTTGTGCATTATTATTTGTTGATTTCAAAAACGGGCAAACGGTCGTATATTAATGTCATTTGTCATGTTTGTCGCCACCTGTCTCTCGCACATTTTATGCATTTAATCATGTCTCATTTTACAGAAAAAACGACATTTTTTCGTCGTTTTATGCAAAAAAAAAAAAAAATCGCGAACGGTCGCTTTGGCTTTTTAGATAGCAGTGGCGCAAGTTCGAAAGCAACGTGTACTGAAAGTGAATGGTGTTAATTAGACTATAAATCACCGACACTTACCAACCCGCTTTTGCTGAATGTTATTTCTTTTTTTTCTTTTGTGTCAAAGGCGTTCATTCTCGCACTCTGTATTACATGTGTTTAAATATCAATTGACGACAACCAGTAATACATACACATATATCGACCCAACGCGCGCCTCAACGATGTATATTTGCGACGCATTTATAATGGACGGTAGAGTGATTACCGCTTAAGTACACTATGTAAATAAGTCGTATTTTGCTGTTTGTGTATCAAATATGTGCATGACATGAAGGTTACTCACATTCGACTATGTGCACGACGAAGGTCCCACTAAAATCCCACCACAATTCATTTACAGTATGCAACAGGCGAACAAATATCATTCTACTTCTTCTTCGCATTTCTTTGTCTTGTCGTTGGGTCTTACTGCGTAGAAGAAATTCTGCGGCAGCAAAATAATTTGTGCACTTTTATCTCATATTTAAATTGTGTAAATTGCTGGTGACACTTTGCATATCATTTAAAAATGATTGCTTTTGTCGCCTGTACGCGCATCGTCTGTGTATCATCTATATTTCGTTTGTTCAGTCGACCAATTACTCTGTTTTAGACATCAACGATGTCAATGGATAATGTGATGAGAGCAAAAGAGCACGCACCCCGTTCATCATTGTATCATACGAGTCACAATATCAATTTACAGCTTTTAACCGACAGACGCTGTCAAATTGCACTGATAATAACTCGTTCATTCAGCTTGTTCGTTCATTTATTTTCTCGTTGTTTATTGTTGTCAACGTTGTGTTGTCTTTTCTCCTTGTTACCGATTTTAATTCGACAAATTTAAGCGAGACAATCCGTCAACGCACACGACATGACAAACATTATTATTATTTTCAAAGAGTGATCTAACATACACACGAAAAGGATGAATGTGTAGTCGTTAATCCATTCCACAGCAAACAATCTGAATTATTTCAATCTCAACGGGAAAAACTCAGGAAATCACATTTTTTTAATTTTCGTGTTTATCGTCATTTCATTTTTATTTTCTCCCTTTCCGCATTCGCTATTTGAACGCTTATAAATAACCCATCGTAAATCTTTAAACGTGTTTGTTTACACTCAGGCACACTCAATTTTTAGTCATGCTCTCACTCTTTCAACTCGATTTTAATATCGGTGGCTTTGAATGAAATCAAAATAAAACAATTTACCGCACTTTGGGCTCTTCATTGAAAAGAGATGAATAGAAAAAAAATCAGTCATTCGAATGAGTAAACGAGGCGGTTTTGTGCGATTTTGGATTCATGAGAGTGGAAAAACGTGAAAATTCGTCACATAAGAAGATTTAAAGCGATAATAAAATAAATACGATGATCTTCATGAAATGAAAGGCAAACACACAACTAGAATGAAAAATGCTCTTCAAAGTATTCGGTTAATTATATTCAATCTGTAAAACAACACAGTGTCAAGACACCCACGTCAGGATCACTTAATCTGTAATATAAATTTTTTTTTGGGTTGGAGCATTTTTTTTAAAGAGTGGATCTCTCTGTCTCTCTTTGTCCTTTTCTTTTTCCTGCTGCCACTACGAATTGAACAAATCAAATTAAAAGCGTTTCAAGAGACATCGTATATATTCATGATGATATATTTGTTTTCGGTTTTTTAGTCTCTTTCACTGCTCTGTCTCATGAATCTCATATGTTCGCTGTTGAAATTGAAAAATAACACTTTATCTTTGAATTGGGTTTCTTTTTCGTCTCTGGTGTCAAGTAAACATTTTTGATAATTTTTAATTTTTTTTCTTTCTGATGAAATGGAAATGGAAGTGGAGAAAAAAAGAGAGTCTCTCACTGAGATTGGAAATATGCGGAGATCATGACATCAGTTTAGGTAAGAAAAGAAGTAAGAAAATCTTTGAATTGAAGAAAAATTCGAAAGAAAATAGAATAAAAAAAGACTTAACAAAACGGAAAGGTTATGGTTCCACACGAAGAGCTCTGATGAAAGTAAAAAATCTATTCCGTTCACTTTGATTAACGTTAGCAATCAATTGACAGTGATTATTCATTGCCTGTGCAGTGTGTGGTTCTCAATATGAGCATACCGTACAGTCGATGAAACATTGGAAAATCACACCATGCTACCGGCCCCGTTGATTAATTCACATCTCAATGATAAAATATACGTAGTTGAAAATTTGAACATCTTTTTTTCTTTCTCTCGATTTTCGTTGTTCGGTTGGCTGGTTTGTTGTCGCATCATTTTTAATGGTGAGCATTATGTCAACCGTCACAAATCATGTCACACAAAATGTTAATTTATAGACAGACACAGAGCTCAAAATGCGTTTGAGCAGCACTCCCGCCCAAACGCCAATCAGCATAAAAAAAGATGTAGAATGCTGTTAAAAGGCTTTTTTTTTTAATGGCAGTGCGTGTGTTAAATATCGTGCGCCTTGGTCTCCTTCTGGTTATTTTTCCGTGCGTTTTGGGTATTTGGATTTGTTTGGCGGCTCACCCGTTGGCTGTTGCCGGCACACAGAGATGTGTGTTTTTTATTTGTATGTTTGCTTAAATTATCTCTTTGCTTTTTTTTGTCGTGTTTTTTATTTTGGTTGATGTTCTTTTGCGTTTCGATGATTTTTAATGTGGAATAATTATAGTTGATAGTTTTATTTTTGCTTGAATAAGACATGTTTTGAATGTTTTCTTGCTGCTGGGCACATAAATTTTCTGTCAATTGAGTGGATTCTCTCGTTGGGAGAGAGAGAAAGAGATAAAAAATGACTGAAAATTATTAATTCCCTGGTGTCTTTGTCGTCGCAATCTCACAATGTAATAAATTTGTACCACGTTTGTTTAACGCTTTATGTCAAACAGCTGAAAATGTCGAGAATGTATGAGTGTGCCGTGTACACCGAGAACTGTTGGACGTCCATGATTACGGTTTTGCGTGTTGTAAACACTTTTTGCCTTGTTTTATTGAAATGTTAAATTGACAAGGAAAACCCGATCAACGCCACTATCTTTTCTCTCTCTCTCTCGGCACAAATTCCTGTTAGACATTATTACACGATCGATTCAAATTAAATCCGAGAAATTACCAGGACAGCAATGAATTAAGAATCGCAATGTACGACATAGAAAAAAAAAATTGAGATAGCTGTTGAATTTACTGCATGAAGCTGCTGCTGGCTACGATTCCGCTGGCATTTTAGATTGTCTAATTTTATCAGCTCATTCTTTGACTTGAAGAACTATTCTAATGATCATTCCACACTCGACACGACACAAATCGACACTGATGGCATTGGCAATGAGGGAATCGAACTCGCCCAAGAATTTTAACCGACAACATGGGACGTATATCATTTAGTGGATATAAATTATTCATTTTCATACGGATTCCTGGCTGTCGCTGTTATTGTTTTCGATTCGCTGTATTAAGGGGGCTTTGTCTAGTTTTTTTTTTCTCCGTGTCTTTTCCCTTTGCCACTCCGACATAATAATGTCTCGATCTTGTGATATGGTCAAATTCGAACCAAAAAAAAATTAACCATGTCATAAATTTCTATATATCAGTGCATGTGAACGATGTGAAATTCAACAATGGTCAACACAATCTGTCTACTTCAGGATTTAAAATCGAGAGCGAGAGAGAACCAAATAGAGACCAAGGCATATATAACGAACGACCGACCACAACATAAATGAATGAGCACTGAAAAAAGAAGCGAAGACCGTGGCAGATTATACCAGAACAGTGTGCAAAATATAAAAAATATCTTGGTATGACTCTTGTAAGACGAACTTTTTCTTTGAAATCTGATTAAATTATTTTCTTTTTCGACTCATGTAGGAATTCTTTTATCTTCTTCAATTTACC